CATCTTTCCAGCCATAGTCTCGTTCGGCATCCTTCAAAGCGTGAATGATCTTAACGACATGAGAGTCTCTTGCCAAATTCGTATGTAATATTTGATCAACAACATATTTCCAGTTATACATGTCCTCCTCTACCCTATAATCATTGATAAGGTGTTCATTGATTTCTGGCTGCCGCTGAGAAATATAGATAGCAAGAGATAAGTAGAAAAAGCAACACAGAAGCATTTTGACAATGCTTTCATCCAAATAAGATCGAAGTTTTCGAATGGCATGCATTGCCGTAAGAAGATGCAGAAGAACGAAATCGAAATCGATTTGCTTAGGTTTATGCGTAGCAGCATAGATATAAACAGTCATGTCAAACAACTCTTCGATCGTCTTATCAATGTCATCTGGCATTTTCCACTCGTTATAGTGGGAAAGAAGAAGGGATTCGTGCATTAGTGCAGCAGTGACTTGGAACGGTTGGGCAAAATTTGGTACATGGTCATCTAAGCGAATATCTTTCATGATTTGAAGAGCTTCTTTTTTTCCTTCTGTCGGCGGTTTCAGTTTGGTGTATGTCTGATATAAATTGCCAGAGCACACAGCTGTCATAGTCAATGCTTCACACGCTACCAGCCGACTGTTTAATTCAATCGCATAGGCTATTGCGCACGTTCACCTATCATGTAAATAGAATACACTATTATATAAATGAATTCAGTCTTGGAAAGAATTGTCTATTTTCTCTATCCTTGTGAAGTCTGCGGGCATCCATACTATATCTAGAATGATTATAAAATAGTTGAACAACAGTTATGGATGATCGGATGAAACAAACTACACAGGGTCACATCGATAAGTGGCGATCCTTCCGTATCGTCGAGAAGTAACTCGAAAAATTTCTTTTTCCAGTCACCTTGTTTTGGAAGCTCGTTATCGAAGAAGTCACGATAGGCCAAACAAAATCGTTTGTCGCCGATTGAATTACGCCAATTGTCTTGAGTAATTTCGTGTGGCGAGGGCTCGTACTTATCGGCATGATGGCGCATAGTGTTCTCGTAGATATCTTTGAGTTGCTCATCGCTCGCGCCCAGTAATGCTAACGAACCCAGATGTTGAGCATTATGCGAGTGAAATTGACGCTTGTTATACAATACTTGATATTGCTCGAAATTCGTCTTCAATAATTCGTCGAGCACGGTATGTATCATGATGATAACGTATTGACGATAAAATGCAATTATATACCTACCTTTTTATCGTTTCGCACAATTCTTATACAAATACTCTTCAGTTATAATATTGGTCGATATTGTGAACCAGTGCATCAATGTCGATACGATTACTGAACAAAATCATATATCGTCAACAAGGCAAAAGAAAAAAACGATAAGAGAAACAAACAGATACCACCACCTATAGAACAGGTGTAGTTGTGGGTGTGGGTGTGGGTGTGGGTGTGGGTTTAGGCGTGCGGTATGGAGGTGTGAGAGGTGATTGGATGCGTAGCTTCTCAAAAGAGATACTTGTGAAAAAAAGCTAATAGCTACTTAATCAACCTACAGCTACTTATTGATCATACATCTACTTAATATTAGCTACGTGAAGTTTTCTATGACTATTCAAATATCCTACATGCATGTAAATTTCCTATAGCTATTTACAGTTTGCGTACCGTTTAAAACCTCCGCAGCCATTTCAACATACCACAGCAACTAAAAATTCATAGCTAATGATAAAAACCAATAACTATTTATAAACTAATAGCTGTTTAAAGAATATTAAAGATTTCTTTCGCTATTTTATAACTATTGTAACCTTTTCACAGCTATGAGAATGGTTTTGTAGATATTGAAAAAAATTGCCACGGAGGATTATTTGAATAGCTAATCGATCTCTACGATAGTTGCGTACTTTTTTGTATATGACTTACAACTCCACATTATTCTCTTTTTCTTTTCTCGCTGTTATGTGAAAATAAAATACCTCTCATAATTTCATAAAGAATCTATATATGAAAGGCTAATAATATTATGAAGAAGAACACCTGAATATATCTATACATATGTATGTTTATATAGATATTGTGCACGAAATTGAATTTCATTACATTTGAAAAAAATTTAGAATTCAAACTTAGTTCATCCTCACATCTATCTTGACTATATTTTCTTATCAATACCTTCCAGTCTCACTTATACATATGTAACAAAAAACCTAGTTTAAATTCGTATTAAATTTTAACGAAAATATTTTTTGCGAATAGAAAAAAACAAAAAGATTTTGTACATTGTCTTAATATTTAATTCATCTATAAACATAATTGTTTTTAGAAAACTAATAACAATACGTGTATATCAAGACAAATTTTTCTGTCAACTAATTCAGATAACCCACAACCAACCCCTGCTCAATCGATAGTCACCGATTTAAGTCATTTATAAATACGTTATAGAGACTAGTGTTTGATAAGCTCCTACACAAGCCGTTTTAAGAAATATCGCTCCGTTCTCAAGTTATTAAACTTTTTCTGAGATCATCCCCCGTCAAAAAATGATATTTTTTGTGACTTTTTTCTGCGACTTATATCTCTTTAAGAGTACATTTGTTTCGCTTGAACTTTTTACTGTAGATCAATCCTTAGTTGAGGTATTTTTCATCAAAAAATGACCTCGATCGGGCAAATCATTGATTAATTGGCCTGCAGTGCCAAATACATTAAAAAAATTTCACTTTTTTGTCTTTTGTTCATATAAACATCCATTGAATAAATAATTCGAGAGAGCTAAAATTTTGGTCACAGAAATAGCTCATTGAGTACTAACTCTAATAAACCACTCATTCAAACTTACAAGTAGTTTATCTAGAAAATAATCAATTCGAACTTAAAGTTCCCAATTTACAAAATACACCTTTATTATCTGAATATAATGAAAACATGTTTAACATCATAAATCAACATCTTGATTCCAATTTTATGTTTGAAACTAATACAAAAACAACTTTTCAAACCAATGATTTTAATTTTTTCAAAATTCATAAAGTGTACAATTATATTAATCTTCCAGAAGACGAAATACAAAAATCTGCACCTTTAGTAGAAAAACTAGTAAAATTTGACAGATATCATTAAGGCTATATTTAGTCATGTGTTTGTGGTACTTATAATAAAACCAGCTATTCTTATTTAACATTGCAGGAAACTATCGATTCTGCCCAAGAAAAGACTCACATTATAAACATAATACCATAGCAATTTGGTAGACACAAGAAAAAACGGATCATTACGATTTGTTGTGAAGATCATAAATGTAACAACATACCCTTGACTTGGACTTCTGGATAAATTTTCACATGAAGTATTATCAAAACGATGCACAAAATCCATACATATAGATTACTATCTTGTCTCTATACCACTTCGTTAACTGATATACCGATGCCACTCTTTAGATATTCATCAAATCTTCCAGAAGCTAGTGAATGATGCAAAGCTTACACTAAACTTTGAATATCTGTCGAATGTCTACACAGTCACAGGTAATTCCAGGTAGCTCTAGCTCAATTGAGTAGCTATAGGAGAATATTAAGTAGTTGTAAAATGATTAAGTGGCTATAGAAAAACATTTAGTAGCTGTAGGTTCATTAAATAGCTATAGAATACCACTAAGCAGCTATAGGAAAACATTAAGTAGCTGTAGGTCGATTGAGTAGCTATAGGAAAACATTAAGTAGCCATGAAAAACTTCAACTAGCTGTACCCAACACAGCACAAGAGAGTATTATTAAAAAGTATCTCTTTTGAGAGTGAGCCGTCTAAAACAGTTCTGGTCGAGTCTCTCACAGTACATTATATAAAAATACGAACAATGTGACAATCTATTAGAACCTGTCAATATGACCAGAAACTAGTTAGAATATAGACTTTGAATCACAAAATACATAGAAGTCCATCGAAATTATAGTTGGCAACTTTTTTCGGCGATCTAACTGGATTATCTTCGAGTTACTTTAGCCATTTGAAAACTGGTTGATTTTGAAAGAACTGGTACTCTCCATCTCAATAAGATTTATTGAATTTTCATGTGAGAATTCTTTTTAGGCATCCTTACAAATTTCAAATAACATCTAAAACGGGTGCTGCTCGTCGTATAAATAGATATTTTCTGCTAGGATCCGATCTATCTCACAATGTCAATAGAGATTAGACTGACTGATTTCTATGACAGTTACATACAGTAGCGGAGCCAGGATTTGGAGCTAGGGAGACCGAGCATTTCGGCTAATAAAATGCATACTTGAAAAATCTCATTAGGTGGACTCAAAAGTCTAAAGGTAGGGGTTGAATTTCCTTGGTGCACAAAGCCCATGTTTCAAAAATCTCGCCAGAAAGCTGAAAGGCTCCTAGGAGAGTTGAGGTTCTCTACCCTTTTCCCTCCCCCCATCTTGGCTCTGCCACTGGTTACATGCAGTACAAATAAGTGAAAAATTTACCAATATATCTTGATTCAGATATCGGCTCTGGAACAGAGAAATATAGTAATTTAGATGCTGTTTATAACACATAATGTTGCTTTGGTCATTTTTTCTCAATGTAAAGTGAATCCCATCATAGCTGACTGAAGACTTTTTAACTCATATTTTGCATAGTCCAAAGATTCTTATATTGGTTTTATCATCCTATGTGTTCTCGTTGACGAAAAGGTAGAAAACTTCTATGATTAATGCTTGTCGCGGATATTATACAAAAGATTAAACATATAATTAGATGTGTGTCGTTACCAAAAGCATTTACATGCTTTGAAATGTTTTTACTAAGTATTAAAGAAACTAAAATCTGCCATCCTCTTATCATATCTTGTAGACAAACGAAAGCTTCGTTCTATCCATTTTCCATGCTAAAATTATCACTGTTCTTTCTATCCTTAATGCCACTTATTGTGATCTAATGAAAACAAGTTTGTGATTGTTTAATATGTAAAATAACCAACATTTAAATTTTTTATTGTAGATTCTATTGGTGCTCACCTATTGCTTTTGGTAGATGTGATTGATTAACAAGACTTGAAGATTTTTCCTCGACATATATCATGCGTTGCCATACGATTTGATCACTCTGTATCATATTTAGTTCGATTGTTGGTGATTGAGCTACTTGTTCTAAATCTTCATTAAGTCGACGAATTTCTTCTTTCATTCGTGTTAAATCCTGTTCAATAATACCTTTTGTTTCGCGCAGTTCTTTCAACTCTTGTGACAGCGTTTGGAACTGTCCCATAATTTCTTCCAGTTTAGAATTCTTTATTTTGAAGATCTGCTGTCGAGCTAATTCAGCAGCTTGTTTCACCTTCTCGATAGTTTTTCGTTGCCATTCATCGATTTGTACAAGAAACTGGTTGCTAGACTCTTTATGCGAAGCGGCCTCATTGATTTTTGCTTGAAGGTCATTCTGATCTACCGTAAGCCCATCTAATTCATTGAGTAATATTCCACAATGACTTTGAAAATCATCATCGCAGAAAAATGCTTTGCATCCAGGGCAAAAGCAAGTTCCTGCACGTTTTTGACATACCGAACAACGATTTGATGTCGCCATCACTCTAGGAATAATAAGAAGCAAAATTGTTTTATGTAAAAACTATACAACCATATCAAACATCAAAAGCTAAAACGTACAACAAATTACGTTTGTATAGCTTATATAACTCATTTCGCAAAAGATGAGAGACGCAACAATGAAACAAAAACCAGATCAGATAGACCACTAAAAATAGACAGACCGCCTAACTTCCATGTTTTCTCTAAATATTAATGTTTTCTTTTTCCTCTCTTGTTGAGAGATACATCCTAATTGAAAACAATAAATGTATTCTGTATTGCTGTTATTTTGATATACATGACTTCTGTGCCTTTTTATAAAAACATGCTCATGTCAATAATATCGGTACTCGTTTCCGGTTCAGAAACTCAAAAAAAAATGTACGAATTTGGAAGCAAGCATATGATGATCGTATCCAGTGATCGACACTGCTCAATTATAGGCGATTTCTATCGAAACCGAAAAAACTTAATCTATGTATCCGTGCATTGGATTTCCCTCCCATTTCCTAAAGTATTCTGGTCAAACACCATTAGCCTGGAATGTTCTCCTATGATTCAAATATCATTCTAATACTAGTATGTAAAGACCATGTACGGCCATACTAGAATAGTCAGGCAGGTAAGTAAGCTAGGACCATGAAAACTGATCACAAATATAGCTAGGCTGAAGAAGTTCATAATCTGTGGTGGGCTGGTCGAGCCTACTATTTGCGAACTTGCCTGAACCTCTAATACTTCCAGTTTAATCACCACTACGACAGACTCCTAAGGTATATAATGAGACTTTTATTTCTATTCTTGAACTCTTCTTTTTAGTTCTTAAATTTAAGTGCCCTGAACTTTTTTGCGAATGATAAATTTCATTTTGCTGTCAAAGGATTCATGTCGTAAAAAAGTATTTTGAAATTATATTGAAATCCTTCATTACCATATATCTCCTGTCTTCGAGACAATCAGCTTTGTTAAACTACCAGTGATTCATAAAAATCAAGATAAAGAGAGAGAGTCAAAATATAGTAGAACTTGAAATGGGACATATTGTACTTTTTTGTGGCACATAGCAATACTTACTTTTCATCAAGAAAATACTGTAATAGTTGTTCAATTTTCAATTGCCTTGGTTGCCTAAAAGTCAGTAATTGTATCCTGTTTCTTATCTTTTAACGAAAAACCAGATCACATGAGGAGTATGCTTGTGCACGTTTTCTTATCAAGCACATACAGAGAAAGAAAAAATACTGTTGTTTGGATTTTTTTTCGACAATGGCAACTTTCGCAGACTGGCGATGATGTTTGTTGAAGAAAATGTATGGAAGGCAGAGTCGTTCTTTATTGTAACGAGAAAATGACGATGACAATGCGTAAGTGAAGAAGAAAACCAAGCTATAATAAACTGTCTTTTAACATAAGCTAATCAATGTTAAATCTCTGTTTCATATGTCACATCCCAAATAAAGAAGCCACTACTATGTCATCACCGTTACTCTATTATTTTATTTATTTGTAAATTATAATTATATAACTTGGATGACGTATGAACAAATGTAATGTATTAAAAATTGTATCATTAGTCTTCTAATTAACATTTGAATGTTTAAACATGTATTGATATTTGTAGATAGACTTCGAAAAGGGTGTTGGGTATGAAGTGCGGATATGGATGGGCGTGAGTGTATGTTGATCTTTTTCAATCGTCCACAATCATACCCTGTGGACGTCGATGTGTATGTAAAAATAGCATTCAAACTCACATCTACATCCCGCACTCACTTCAAGTTGCTCATACTTCCGCTATCAGAAAAGGAGCGCGTAATTTTCAACATCAAGCATATCGTGTTGAAAATCAAAAGAGTTTATTCTCATTTGATAAAGAAAAAGACTATCGTCAAAACCAATGTTCATAATGTCGTCAGCCGTTGATTTCGTGCAATCAATTCATTTAAACAGGCTTGAAGCTCCGCTTCGATTTGATTGGCCTCGATGCTAAGTGTCGTGAGTGTCTGTGTGAAAAAACGCAAATAAGGATATGAGATAGAGTAAGAGAGAATGAAAAACACCGTATTATTTCTCAATGCATCAGTGAGATGTTGTGCTCCTTCGTTTCCTATTTGATTGCTTTGTAGACGTAGTGTGATGACTGTCTGTATAAAAACAGTGCAGATGAGGATATGAGAGAGATAAGCAGAGAATGAGGATCACCGTGTTATTTCGCAATGCATCAGCCAGCTGTTGTGCACCGAGAGCTCCAATTTGATTGTCTCCCAAATGTAGTGTGGCAAGTGCCTGTTTGAAAAAGTGCTGATGAGTATATGAGAGATATGAAGAGAGAATGAGTCTTACCGTGTTATATCGTAATGCATCAGCCAGATGTTCTGTTCCTATGTCGCCGATTTGATTGTATTCGAGATCCAGTGTTGTGAGTGTCTGTGTGGGGAAGTGCAGATGTCTATATGAAATAGGTGAATGGAGGATACGAGTTACCCTGTTATGCCGTAATGCATCAGCTAGATATTGTGTTCCTTCGTCTCCGATTCGATTGATTCTAAGATATAGCGTGGTTAGTGTCTGTTTGAAAAGGTGCAAATGAGTATATGAAAGAGATGAGTAGAGGAAGAGGGTCACCTTGTTATTTCGTAATGCATCAGCCAGATGTTTTGCTCCGAGAGCTTTGATTCGATTGACTCTCAAGTCTAATGTGGTGAGTATCTGTGTCAAAAAGCGTAGATAGGTGTATGAAACACACGAATAGAGTATGAGGGTAACCTTGTTACTTCGTAATGTACCAGCCAGATGTTGTACTCCAAGCGCTCTGATTTGATTAGCTCTGAGATTTAGTGTAGTGAGTGTCTGTGTGAAAAGCTGCAGATGAGCATATAAGACAGATGAAGGGAGAAAATGACGGCTACTGTGTTATTGCGTAAAACATCAGCCAGATTTTGTGCTCCTTTGTCACCGATTTGATTGCGTTCGAGATTTAGTGTGGTGAGTGTCTTTGTACGAAAGTGCTGATGTCCATGTTAGGTAGATGAATAGAGGATAAAAGTTACCTTGTTATTTCGTAATGCAATAGCTAGATGTTGCGCTCCTATGTCTCCAATCATATTGTGATATAGATGGAGTGTGGTGAGGGTCTGTGTGAAAAAGTGCAGATGAAAATATGACAGAGAGGAATAGAGAATGAAAGTTACCCTGTTACTACTCAATGCATTAGCGATATGTTCTGCTCCAAGATCTTCGATTGGATTCAGGTTAAGATTTAGTGTGGTGAGTGTCTGTGTGAAAAGTGAAAATGAGGATTTGAGAGAAATGAATAAAGAATAAGAATTACTGTGTTATGTCTTAATGCATCGGCTAGACATTGTGCTCCTTCGTCTCCGATTTCATTCCAAGAGAGACTTAGTGTGGTTAGTGTCTGTGTGAGAAGTGCAGATAAAGATATGAGAGAGATAGCGAAAGAACATGATGGTTACTGTGTTATTTCGTAATGCATTAGCTAGATATTGTGCTCCAGTGTTTTCGATTTGATTGTTGTACAGTTCTAGTGTGGTGAGTGTCTGTGTGAAAAGGTGCAAATAATAGGTATGAGATAGATTAGTGAAAAATGAAAGTTACCGAATTGTTTCTTAATGCATCAGCCAGATGTTGTGTTCCGTTGTTTCCGATTTTATTGGAGGAGAGATCTAGTGTGGTGAGTGTCTGTGTGAAAAGGTATAGATAGGGATATCCGAGAGATGAAGAGAGGACGAGGGTTACCGTGTTGTTTCGTAATGCACGGGCCAGATATTGTGCTCCGAAAGCTCCAATTTGATTGGAAGAGAGACGTAGTGTGGTGAGCGTCTGTATGGAAAAAGGCTGATAGAGATGTGAGAGAGATGAAGAGAAAATGAAGATCACCGTGTTATATTGTAATGCATGAGCCAAATGGTGTATTCCATTGTCTCCGATTTGATTGGAGGAGAGATGTAATGTTGTGAGTGTCTGTGTGAAAAAGTGTATATGAGGATATGAGAGAGATGAAGAAAGAATGAGGGTCACCGTATTATTTCGTAATGCATCAGCTAAATGCTGCGCTCCTTTGTTTCCCATTTGATTGCTTTGGAGTTGTAATGTGGTGAGTGTCTGAATGAAAAAGTGGATAAAACGATATTGTGCCGTGGATGATAGAAGGAAGAATGAAGTTGTTCTCGAGCGATCGTTGGGCAGAGTTCTATTCCTAAAGTGGCTATTGGTATGTAATGGCTGAAAAAATCAATTTAGGATTGAGTAGATAATGAGTAATGTTTAAAGTTATGTTTTAAAATAACGTCCTGATAGTTCTACAATTTTAATGTTGTATAAAGTGCAAGGTATTTGTTTGATAGATAGAAACGCAATGTCGATTGGATGCTAAAAGCAATTTAGTCAAGCCCTATTCTGTTTCATGTTTTTGTCACTTTCAAAGAGTTTTGCTTAAGCATAACAATGATCTTCTCGGAGTCGCTATTTTGTGTGTTTATGAGTGTTGGCATGGTGGTTCGTGTTGTTCAAGAGGGAACCCACATCCAAGTATTCAGCTATGCATGTGATGGTCTGTTCAAGTTGCAGCGACCTGTACTTGTCTGCATTCAAATGTGAGGAATAAGAGCACGTTAACATTTGCGTGTGTTCACCTGTCCACATACTACACAGCGATCTGATCTGTGTCATGCTGGAGAATCTGAAGTGTGGGTGTGAATATTGATCTTGCACTTCATAAACACCTACACACTGATCCACATTCACACTCACATCCTGTGAAAAATCGTTGGAAATAAGTGTTGAAGTTAATAGTGAGATAGTAACCGTGAAAGCTGAGCGGCTACTTTGTTTGACACACATCCAAAAAGTATTGTGTTCAAATCTCGATACCAACAGTCATGGAATGATTCTAGACGGGTCATTAATAGCTCTTTATCTCGCACTTCCAGTCTGACAGTATGCTGACTATTGCTGCATCTACTGCTAGTGAGCCAAATA